TTATTTATACGGAAATTTGGTCAAAAATTAAGTGCCTATTTTTGTTACATAATTCGAATGAGAATCATGTACCGAGTATTCTCCTTAATATATAATATTCATACAATTTTCTAACATCTGTAAAATGAATAAAGCTTGTATTCTTTATCAAATCATTAAGGAGATATTCGTTTTAAATTACACGTTTTGAAATGTGGTTTCAACTGTAACATAAATCGAAGGCCCGTTACTATTAATACCTATGCCCTTTCAATAGTTACATATCTACTGTGATTGTGGTCTAGGGTCGTCCACATTCGTAGTAGTAATTCTGGTTGCTGATAGCATAAGCTTTGTTTATAAGTCTTACAAAATGTACGACTGTTATATTCGTATTTTAATAACAAATTACTGAAAATGGTAGCTTAATTCTTAAATAAATATTAAGAATTTGAAAACTTCTTTGGAATATAAGCAACGTATAGGTATACTTATTTGACGAAATTTCATTGGTCACTATTCTAAAATATACTAATAGGAATGAAGTTACTCAATCGTTTGAGAATAAACACTTCGTAATATCTTTCCACATTTATGTATTAAAACTAAATAAAAGTACACAATATGTCATTCTTTAGGATTACTTAAATGTTTTACTTTAAGATGCTTTTATGATTAAATAAGCAAAGTTTCTCATCTATCCTAGATTTTAGTAAACATATTTTCAATTCGATTAAATAATTAGTTGCATAGCAATCTTGCTATTTAAAACGATGTTATTTAAAGCTAGTATTGTATAACATAATTTAGTTTTTTTCATTAAAACGTTGATGTTACTGTAAATTTATTCAGAGTATTATTAGCATATTTATATTTCGTGCAATTTTAAAGTAGCGGATGTTTTTATGGACACAATATGCCGTTATATCAAACTAAAGTCTCCGTACGTTCATATCAGAAAATATTTCATAACAAATTAATATTTTTTTGTATGTCTTCGAGAATTTTGCTCTATGTCTACATTATTTATTTTGTGGTTCAACAAAAATTAATAACTTTCATCAATTATTTTGGTTCTTGACTTCCATATACCTTAGATAATGTTAATTAAAAAACCTATTAGCTTTATTTGTATCGACCTATATTTGTAGTTAGCTTCTGGGAACGAGTTTAGAAAAATCTCAAAATGTTGCTCTGTAATAATTAGACTATGTACAAATGTATCAAAAAATGTGTTCTCCTCACTAAGACTACAAGAACCGAACTTGTGGCTATACAAAGAGTATTTAATATACAAGACTCCACGAACTTATTTCTTGTTGTAAGAATAAAATTGGAGTCACTAATAATAATTCAAATTTACCACCAAAAACCTCTGTTGCTTCCAATTAAAACCATACTACAAGCATTAGGGTTAATCGACCAAAAAAGCGTAATTGTCAACCACATTCTGAAGACAGAAGTTAAAAAAAAATCCCTCGTAATGAAGGTAATGTTGGAGAAATTGTACTAGTGTTACTCAGAATCATTGATGCTTTGATAGTTTATGGGACCAAGCTAATTTAGCAGCTGTGCCTAGAGTCAGGTCAGGTCTCTAGCTAATGAAGCGGCCGTTAGTTATGATTGGCTTTTAGCTGTTCATTTTGATAGATTTACTACAACTACTTGTAGTTAATACTACAAGTTCTAAGAATACAAAACTTATAAGAACTAAAAGAATTTAACATCAACATGCATAGTCTTGTAGTTGAGGGTTCTTACCAAGTCTTCTTAGAGCGTAACCGTAAAGGACTGATAAAATAAATTACAAATACTATTATAAAATATTATAAAATTAATATTTATTTAGAACAGTTAAAATATTCTATCCATATTATATAGAACATGAAAGAAAAATGACAAGTTAAAACTCTTTTCCTATGTCCCGAAATTTTCTCAAAGGTAATCTATAGTACTATTTCTGATCAACTCCACGACTTGTAAAGTATATTACATATATTTATTTCGAATAAAATCGGACTATTTTCGCAGGTATTTAAATATAAGTCAATACATACTATGCCTTTATTAATGATCCGCAAATAACGTGAATCTTCCATCATGTTACAGAAAGCGATCGTTAAGTAATTAGTAAGTACATCCTAACAGCTTGCAAAAAGCACTTCCTAATGATTACAAGCTTTTTAAGGAGTCAACAAGTCGACGATAGAATGCCACAAGCTATAATTGACTTCGCAGATGTAGAATTAAGATTAAACAAGCTCTTAGAAGATAATACATTTAATTCCCACGTTTAAATCTTATTGACAAAACCATTTTCAAATATATTATTAAGATTTCCCTAATGGCTACTTCATAAAAGTACTTACTTATATTTACTAAGATTATAAAATTACCGGTTCGTTCATCTCAACAAAAAAATGTATATAATCATCATTCGCTTAGAACTCTTGAACTCACAGAATCTTAGTATTTTAGGAATTTTTATAACAATTATAATATGTAAAATTTTTTGGATATATGTACTTATGAAATTGTACAGGATTTGAAAGCGTAGAACATAATTTTATTAAACAAAAATAGCTAGTATCATGTCATGGTTGTTTAGTATTTACGGACGATTCAAACAAATAATTATTAACTCGTAACAAATGTTACGCCAATTAGCATTTAGTTTACGTAAATGTAGTATGCATTTACGTAAAACAAACGTCGTTCCGTATCAAGATTCCGTTACGTTAATAAATATACTATTGAATAAATTGACTCATATTATATAGAATCAAATACATATTACTAGTAGGTATAAACATAACAAGTTAAATAAAGAAACAAAAGTATTCTCTGGTTACGCAAGTTACAGCAGATGCACGGACAAGGCCTTAAGAACATTGACCTCAGACAGCGCCCTCTAGGGACGCCAAGCTGTAAAAGTTACAAAGCTTATAATCTAACAATCTTCAAACCAGTAATTATTAATTCAATTGGTAATTTGATGTGATAATCTTTTTTAGTATTACTTTTAAATGCTTTCGTATTTTTAACTGTACTCAACTATATAACTTTTATTATTTTAATCTATGCCTCGATAATAGTATATCTTTCGTAATAATATTAAATGAAATTGTCGAACGTAAAATGTTATGTCACTTATAAAAAAAATAAGTCTTATTGTCTATGATTTTTTTTATATTTTAATGTTTAATTTAAATTTATATAATTATTATTCTCATCGAAATCAACCTTTGAGAACTTAATTATATTTCGAACGTATTAATTTGTAATCACCAAGTAATTACAGCGTAGCTGTAGTTCTCGAATCATTAATTCCCCTTACACGATTCACATTAGACTCTCAGGTTGTTAAGTATGTTTTAATTGATGCTTTGTATCTGGGAAGCTGATTGAATTTTTTATTTACTTTAAAAACGGGACTCTGGCTTAATACAGTGAACCATTGCCGTATTTAATTAATACGTATAGATACTTTTTAGCGATATTTTTAAAGATAAAGTAATTTATATATAAGACCCAAGTTTAAAACTCTATTTCTGATTGTTAACCATAGATAATAGAGCTTAGTTATTTTTATTTAGCTTCAAAACTTTAATATTTACCTACAAAAAGCGTAAAGAAATCTGGAGATTTTCAATTTTTAACTGTTATTCATACTAATTAAATACGTCCCACTTAAGTAAATTAATATTCCATGCATGCTGTAGACACAAGTGAAGTATCTTTTAGAAAAAGTAGGCGGAGCTTTATTAGTCAGGTACGCGGTATGCCTAACGCGTTGAAATGTTAAACTTTTCTCCCGTCTCTACTCTCGCAAATAATAATATTTTTAAAACCAAATTTTTGAATATTCGTATGGATTAAAAATGTATGTGATTTTATACATAAAGTTTACACTGGTGATTATAATGGGTATTAAAAAAACGTAGTAATTTAGTACTCAAAAAGGCTAGCGATTCGTCAAATTGTTATTTATTTGAAGCTTAATGGGTACTTTTGTTAACTACCTAAAGAACACGTCTTCATCAGTAATAGTGGCACGAATAATGCTTTTATCCATTAATTATCGGAAACTTTGATAATAAAGGCTACAAAATTGTCCCTGTTAAGTTGTCCATACATAAATACATGTTATTTTTAGTCATAAATACAAGAAAATTGTATTTTATATTAATAAATAAAGTATTATCAAATACGTCGAGAAATGAGATCTAAGGCTTTCGCGAGTTTTATTCATTTAAATGAAACTAATATTTTTAGGATATACTACATTTCGTCTGCCCGTGATCACGGTTACTTAAAAGTAACCGAAACGTCGGGAGTATGTAGTTTTTCCAAAAATAAACCACGAGTAGTATACAACGAAAAAAAATAGTTTCATTTAAATGAAATACGTCGACTTATACTGACAATATTAGATAATATGTGAATAGATTCATAGAATTCTATCTTAAAAGGCAATATAATCCTAAAAGTATTTATCAATTGGTATTCAACAAATGTTTTGACGCCATCAAAGCCCGCGGGCCATACATCTTATATCTCATTTCACAGTGTGATGATGACCAATTATTTAAAGTTAAAAGCAAAACCATCGACCAAGTAACGGTATACGCCAAGTTAACGAACTTACGCAAGATTTATTACGTGTTCCTATGCTGAAGATTTACCTGAATCAAGCTTATATATGTTCAAACACGAAATACAATAAAAATACTAAAAAAAACTATATAATTTATAAGTATATTTAATGATTTCAAATATATATGAAAAGAACAGTAAAGATGGCGTGGTAGTAATTTTTAATTCAAATTATTTTTACTCTTATTTTTTCTCTAAATAGTTTGATATGAAAATTTAGAAAGCAAAATAATGTTTATGTTATTACATAGTTGATAGAAAGCTACTTGTACGAGTATTTTAAACCAAAAAATATTAAAAAAAAATAATAGTTAGTATCTATTTTTACGGAATTAACTCCTATTTTATTTCATTTCAGGTACAAAATGGTCAAGATATTAATTTTCACATCTCTTTTATGTCTAACGGCTAACGCTTTGGGCAGCAGCGATGACAAATTTTTCAAAAAATACGCCATGATGAAGGTGAGTGCATTGTTATTTTTTAAATAAAAAAATATGAGGTTTAAATATTCCATTTGACTATTGCTAAATTAATGTTATAATAGTATTTAGATATCTGTGTTTTATCCAACATGAGCTTATTTTTCCTAAATGTAGTAATTAATGAAACATAAAACAAACAATCCAATAGATTAAATAAAAAAAGTGCAAAATAGAATCCGCAGTCGGTAGGATTCGAACCTACGCTCCCAGAGGGAATCTGATTTCTAGTCAGACGCCTTAACCGCTCGGCCACGACTGCTTGTTGCGAAAATGTTCAAATTATTATTATTATTGTATTTATAAATACAAATTTATAAAATAACTAGCTGGGCACGGTAAACATTGTTTCGCCATATAATTAGGTAATAGGGGTTGGTGATAAAAATTAAAAATTTTGGGTTGTATGTATTTTTTAAAGCTACATTATAAAAAAATAAAAACAATTAATTTCGTCCGAAAAAAAAAACCAAAATTAAGGGGTTGTTCACCCTTATGACTTAGAGGTATGAAAAGATGTTGACCGATTCTCAGACCTACTCAATATGCTCACAAAATTTCATCAAAATTGTCCAGCCGTTTCGGAGTTCACTGTCTAACACAGCGACACGAGAATTTTATATAATATAAGATAATATTTCAATATTTTTACATGATAACCAACACACATACACCATCTTATTACCTATTTGTAAAACTTGAATAAGAATCCATAAAATCGGCTTAAATTCATAAACCAACGTAACATATATATATATTTTTTAATTATTACCCACTAAGTATTTAAAATTTTCAATCTTTTTATTATGATTTTTTTGGTACATCACTCTTTATTATGTTTTTAAACAATTATGTTAAAATTATTCTTAGATTTACGAAAGTTGCTTCGGACCCGAAGTTGTCAAGCAAATAAGAAAAGAAATGAAAGATGCGTACGCAAAATGCTCATCACCGCCATCTATGGAGGAGGTGCCGAACCAACAAGACATTCCCTCTGCCTTGTTCGGAAAACTGCCGCCAGGGTTCGCTATAGATCCAAGCTCGCAAACCATCACTAAGCCGCTAGATGGCCCATTACATAGTAATGAAAATGAATTACAAAAGCCCGATCTTGGACAAATTGGAGAAAAACTTGGTGCTGCCATGGATAATATATTCCCCTTCAGACCCACTCAAAGAGTAAGTGAATTTAATAAAAAGACTAAAAAGTATTAACATTGAATGCCTCCTGTGAGGATTGAACTCACGACCCCTGGTTTACGAGACCAGTGCTCTACCACTGAGCTAAAGAGGCCATGCAATGTGTTGCGAAATTTTTTGTTACATAACAGTTCTATTTATAAATATCGATTTCATTTAAAGCATTGACTAAAAGATTTAAATATTTTCAGCCACCGTTCCAGCCTCCGTCTCCTTACTTGATACCTGGTGGTCAGTTCCGTCCGTTTAGCCCTCCTTACTATCAATTCCCGTTTAATCCCATGTACTACCCCCCCGCACCTCAATACAACCCCTTCGCATACCAACAGCAGCCGTTCCAACAACAATACTACCCTCAACAGTTGATTGGAAATAGCAGGATGTCGGTAAATAATCTCAATATTATCTTCTTTAATATTACCATATATGAATAAAAATATTTAATGCTTTCAAATGCTGGTATGCCACGAACGTGTTAAAAAGTATAGAATATAAAAACAAAATTCTGGCCCACAGTAAAAATGATTCTCAGCATATTTACAACTTTGAATTTGAATACTTTGAACCTAAAAAGTGTTCTTTTTAGTGCGTGCTTCAGAATATATTTTGGCGCCCTTTTCTCAATACAGATTATAACAGACAATATAGATTATTAAAAAATAATGTTCCCGACATATTAGTGCTTGTAAAACGAAACAAAGATTTTATTACAACGTAGTATTATATCTACTACAGAGGGACATAAATCTTCGTGATCGTTTGGAATTGATCTCTCGAGGTCCGAACGCGGGTCGCGTGAGGAACATCACGTGTGTGATGCAGGAACTGGGTTACATCGACCACAACCTGGAACCCAACTACGACCAGATCACACAACGCATCAACAACCTGCCGGTCTCTAGCGAACTGAAAGGTGACATCCAGGACGGTCTACAGTTCTGTCAAAAGTTCTCGGTAATTGCTGATTTATACTCTGTATTATTCTGTAATTTCTGACGTTTAATAATGATCATTTTCGTAGTTAGTTCGTTTAGTTTCTATTGCTATGTGAACTCTTATAATAATAAAAATAATTATGTATAGAGAAGTGAAATGTCCCAATGTTAGAATGAAAACAGGATTGGCTAAAATTTGTTTTCAAGCAATTTTTAGTGCTTCTATTCTATTCTTTAAGACTATATTATCATTACTTGAACACAATTGATTGCCCGCATGCGTTTATTCCCACGCATTCCCTCTCACTCTGTCTTTTTAACTCCACCCCTGAACGTTAAACATTTAATGCAACCTAATTAGTTGCATAAGAAGTCTCACTTCAATTAATACAGTACTTTAGAGTTGATTGTGAATTTTTTAAATGTTTTTCTCTATTTTGTGATATTGATATTTATATAATTATTAATGTATTGTATTTTATTTTATCCAGCAATGCGTGCCAGACTCCAAGCGTGACGTAACACCTCTATGGCAGGAGCTTATCAAACCGATGTTCTTCTTCCGTTGTTACAAGGTACGTAAATGAAATTAAAACATATTTATTGATTTTTAATATAATAATAATATTTTTTTATTGTCGTCAACAGCACAAGAAACTAGAGGCGTGCATCATGAAAGACATCAGGGAGAGATTCGCTGGTGAAGACGATCTGGATACTGAAAGTGGATTCAGGTAGATATATATTAAAAAATATTTTTCAAATTTTAAATATTGACTCTTGATATTAATGGAAAAAATATATATGTTTGGCCTAATTAATCACTCTTTCAACATAGTTCTTTAAAAAATATGTGTCAGAAATGACAGAATAAGCTTCAAGCACTCGATAATCTGTAAATTGGGAAAACTTTGCCAACATATAAATTTTCATAATTAGGTACATACATAAGAGTGGAACACAACATCACATTTAAGCACTAAAATCTACAAAAATATACATGAAATCTTTTCTATAATGATATTATGACTATCTATATAATATATATGTACTATAAATAAATATAATATACATGTGAAGGTCTCTCTCGAGGTCCGCGAGGTCTCTCCGTGAAGAACCAATAAGCGACCCTCGATTGGAAGCCCTGGACGAAATGGCTGTATACTTCTACGACTATCTAAGCGGAGGGAGCGGTCTAGATTACGATCTATACTTGTAATAAAACATTCACTCATTTCCATTCAATCCATTCGATTCCATTCAATCCGTCCTTTATAGATAATAAATCTAATAAGTCTGATGATATTTATTATTGTAATGTTAGTATAATGTAGTTTTAGTTATTTTGCTCAGTAGTTTTTTAATCTTGCCATTACTTTTTTAATATCTCTGGCGTCGTGGTATGGATTCGAGGGTAGTTTGCTACTGTTGTACAATGAGTTTATGTTTTTCTTTTCTTTAATAATCTAATTATTGTATATCGAGTGGCAAACACAGTTCTTGTCAATAAAGCTTTTTATAACGAGCTTTTTCGACAACAACCCGTTTCTGAACAGAATTTTTTTTAAATAATTTTTATATGTAGATTCACGGGATTTTAGCAACTGCATTTATTATATTAAATACTAGTTGTAAGTTATTGTAATTTAATATTAAATAAAAATATTTTTTTTTCTTAGCGTGTTTTCTTTAATATTTTTTTTTATTTAGGGTTACATAAAGTTTTAATATTGTTCTTAAAATCAACAAGATCTTATATACAAAAAAGTTAAACCAATTGTGGTGATTAAATAATTATTATTTATGTCATATCTTTGATTCAAAATTCTTAGACTTCCTGCACTTTTTACTGCAATATGTTAAACTGATTACATTTTTAAGAACTAAATTCTTACGAAATAAGAGGTAGGTACATCCTCGATGTCAATTAAATTATTTACTTTCAATTTGACATGCAAAAGTTTTTAATACGTATCGGATCTACTTTAGGAAAGTATTTTTACACTTTCTAGCAATGTTATAGAGAAAATAAAATGTTGTGTCTAATTCTAATTTTAATAAAAGTCAACATTAAACATAAGATTACTGATAATAATTATTTATTTGTGTATTTTAAAGCGTTTATATTCATATAACGTTACAAATAATTTCCTATTAAACATCACACACGTCGCGTGCTATTGAAAGGTCACTAAAGGTTATTTCCATCATTTGAAACAATCAACCTGTCAAATGTCAACAACAAATTAATGTTTTGTCATTTTTGACAATCATAGTTTTTAAATTATAAGTATTTTATAGCACGAAAGTCTACAGCCATAATGCTTTATCTGAATCAAAGATATCCTTTTTGGTACGAAAATAATAAAATAATAATAGCAAAGCTGAATACATACTTCGAATGTAAAATTCAAATATAAAATTCGTATCCTCACCACAGGATATGACATTTGTGTATTTTTTTTTTATAACCAAAAACGTTGCAAAAAAATTTTTTGTAATCCAAAACCCTTTTGTGGTCCCCGGTTTCGGAGAAAGATGGTATACTTTTTTTTATAATGTTGCCATATAAAAAAGGATACAGTCTATTTGTTCGATCCACGGAACTTTCACCGTGCTAATAAACAGTTTTTTTTTCTTATTCTGTGCGAAAAATTTCCTACCTGCTCATAAAGAGGTGTAAAATAGAGCAATGCGTTTGTCACAAATGATTTTTGTTAGTTTTACTGTTTAGTTTATGACTATTATTGTATTCACGGAGACCTAATTATGTTATAAAGTACCGTTACTTTAATACTTTCATTGCAATTGTTTGAAATAATTTACTATCACTTTCATCTTTTAATTTGTAAATCCCGAAATGTTTCTGAGTAAACAAGCTTTGATGATTTTTTTATTGCACCAAATTCAAATAATACTCGAATTTATGTTTTGTTTTTGTCAATCGTTTATCAATAATCAACCTATGTTGATACCTATGTATTTCGGAGTAAAATTGTAGGTAAAAAAAAACTATATACCTACTTAGTTATTTACTTTATACAATTATGAAAATTGAAATTGATAATATACATGATCTTACATGAATTTTTATAATATTAGTATTTTCATATACCTGCACTACGAAATTTTTGCATGACATAAAGATTAACAACAAACAAAATAACATCACTGTATTATTTTAAGTTAATTAATTAAGATCACAAATTTATACTAAATGTATTAAATTGTATACATATTATTAACAAATTTCAATGTATGAGTAAGTACTAGTTTTTTTTTCATAAGGAGGCTCTATTGTTTAAATAAATACATAAAAAAAACAATATATGATAAATAACAAGACCAAGTGACAGACACTCACATCTCGTCTTAATGATCACGGTTGCTGAAAAGTAGCCTAAACGTCTTGAGTATATAGTTTTGTTCAAAAATAAAGCTCGCGTAGTATACCCGAAAAATATTAGTTTCATTTAAATGAATAAAACTCTCGAAAGTCTTAGATCTCATCACAGTAAATATAGGCATATTTAAAATCCAAGCATATAGCCCTCAATACATCAAAATTTATATTATCATTGTGACCACCCTTTCATTTTTGTATTATTATTAAACCATGGCTTCATTCACCCAGCCTTTCATCTCTACTGATAGTTCAATCTATATTTATTCGACACACATGCGACAGATGCATTCACAAATGAACACTTATTTGATAATACGGAGTACACTTCAACCCATTAAACACCTTTTTGTAAGGTGACAGTGCTTATTAAGGACCTATGTGATGTTAAAATGAATATACATATATATAAGAAATCCCTACTAATATTATAAATGCGACAGTTACTCTGTATAAAAAATCCTTACTAATATTATAAATGCGAAAGTAACTGTCCGTCTGTCTGTTACGCTTTTAATGATACTAAAGCACTGAACTCATTTTAATGAAATTTGGTACAGAGATAAAGTTGACCTTGAGAAAGAACATAGGATAGTTTTTATCCCAGACTTTTGAAAGGTTCTCTTGGAAACGCGATATAACCGAACTCCACGCGGATGAAGCTGCAGGCGGAAAGCTATTTAATAATAAGGAAGTAAATGTGTTATAAAGAAAAGGCGTGCTATTTCGTAGCTAAATAATATTTTTGATTAAGTTTATTATATTAGAATTACATATATTATAATATATTCATGTTTTTTATGTTGTATTGTAGTATAATAATTAGTTTTTGAATGACAATCAAACCAACCAATTTGTATGAAATACAGCTTATTCTTTATTACACAGAATTTACTCGTCAAAAAATATTTAATATCATGGTACAAAGGTAGTTTATAAGCACATCTACCTTACACGAAGATATTGTACACCTTTCAATGTATTCCGGGAGAAAGATTCCAGTCAATAAACTACGCAAGTGTAACAACAATGACCCAGAAAAAAAATATAAAGGATTGTGGAATCTACGAAAATTGCGACCGAGATCTGCAAGGTGCTTATACGACAAAGAAAGTATAGAATTATTATATAGAAAAAAATTCAGAGCAAAATATGTGCTGTCTAATCATAAGATGATAAATTCTCATCGAAAGTTCGAGAATATTATTGTATTATAAAAAAAATTCTTAAAAATAAATAGGAATTTTTCTTAATGTTTGAATTAACAGCGTTTTTACGTATAGGTACTTATATTTTTTTTATATAACGTCATAATAAATATATATGAATCAAATATATTAAATTACAAGTTTCCCAAATAGTTATGTTCTCAGAATTTAAGTTGTATTCAACTGAAATTAGAATTTCAACTTTAAATCATGTAACCAAGGTTCATATTTGTATGTACTATAGTAAAGTGGTTAAATCTCAAGTGTGAACCGCATCTGAGATGTAACTCTTGAAAGTGCGAAATCCCGTATGTCACAAAAAACTTTGAACTCCACAAGTTGTAGCTTGCTACCAAATATGGCATTTTCAGAAACGCCCAGATTAATTTACGCCAACAATTATTCAGTATAAGTAACATCAATCAGTTGTTTAACTATTTTTAAATAGAATAATCTCTTTTAAGTGAAAAATCATTATAAATATATACAGGGTGACTGGTGAATTACTATCGATATTTGAGGACGTGATATTTGACGATCATATATGACGAAATAAAAATTAATATAACATAAATATTAATAAACTTCTACGTAAAGTTAACCAAAAGTTATGTAATTAATTACGCATTGTGTGAACACCCTACAGATTAGGTATACACACACACACACACACACACGTGGTGTTGTATCAGCACGCCGCCGCACGCGTCCACACTTGGAACACTTGGAACGTGTCAACACTTTATTTATTTATACGGAAATTTGGTCAAAAATTAAGTACCTATTTTTTTTACATAATTCGAATGAGAATCATGTACCGAGTATGCTCTTTAAATATTGATAGTAATTCACCAGTCACCCTGTATATCTCCAATATCACTTATCAGCTTACGATAAACCTTGCTAAGATCTCATGATAACTTAAATAATTAGTATTATCGAAGGTGGCAAATAGCGAACTATTGTAATTAAAACTAGACATATAACAAAATGTCTAAACTCTATATCGACCCGTAACCCCCACGTGCGACAGTACAGGTGACGCTAATGATGTTGATCTCACGGGACTCGAACCTTGAACCGCGAAGTATTTCCGCCAGATAGCCACTAATCACCGATAGTATCCGAATATCATTTACTTAACGGATATATCTTCGGACTAATTGGCTCATGTAATGCTCTTTAGACACAGTTCTCAGAAAATACTCGTTTCTTCATATGTATACCAATCGTTTGAGGATTTATAAATGTAAACTTGAAACAAGTGATAAGCGTACAGAATTTATATATATTTTCATAGTAATATATATATTAGTATGAAAATATACTAGCTTTTGCCTTCGACTTCGTCTGCCTCATTAGCATTAGAACTCTATAGCTGACCGAACGAACTATTTCGATTTAAAGGCAGTAAATAAACGGATTTTGGATTTAATTAAGTTTTTTATTATTTATATTTGAACAGGTTGTAAAGTATCCTATGTCTAAAGTATCCTGATTCTGAGCTATGAATTTCCATCCAAATCATTACAGCCGTTCTATATTAATAAATCGAGTAACTAACACGACTTTCGTTTCGTTTTACGATGTCTTAATATAAAAAGAAAT